AGTTTGAGACTGGGCTGGTGGTGCTCACCTGTAATCCCAGCACTTGGGAGGCTGTAAACAGGAGGACAACTATGAGTCCCATCTACTCATAGGTGAGATGCTGTACACCCTGTATACCCTGTCCTAAAATACAAAAAAAAAAAAAAAAAGAATAAATAAGTATGAGAGAACTATAAAAGTGATTGAAGGAGATATTGTTTACGAATTTAAAAAATCCTAGACTGGAAAGGTCAATTTGTTGTTTGGAACTGTTTTTATAACTGGATAAAATTGATTAAATGACCAATCTGGTTGCACAAAGCTGTTCATTAAGATAGGAGGAGAACCACAATTTAACTGTGAAGGCTTAATTATTTGTAAGTTTCTGAGAAAAAATGAGAGACATTGGTCTGCAGATCTCTGACCATTGGGCAGTTGCCTATTTTCTTCAAACAATAACTGTATTTTGAAGAACTTTGAATTTATTTTTTGGGAAAAATAATTTGGCTTTTGTCCAGAGGGAAGACCATGTCTTAGAGAAGCTCAGCCAGAAAAAAATGAAGGTAAGGGTGAAAACTGTCCCAAGAGAGGACATAAACTGAAACAAAATAAGGCTCCTAGATGAAAAATGCTTTCTGATAATATTTGGGAATCTGAATCCTTTATTACTTGAAGCTTTTGTACCTCAGACTTGTCATTTAGATCAGTGAATAAATTCTTTACTTCAATTTGTGTAGAATTTACTTGCAAATCCAAAAGTATCTTGCTAATTACACTTCAATTTTTTTTTAAATCCTTTCCATGGAATTGACTCCTGAAAGCAAAGAAGGTCTTATACACTGGCAATAGTCAGAGCTACATACATCATGCACTGTACTTCTAGGCAATTACTTACAGAAAACATATCTAAACTCTACATCTCTAGATGAAGAAGTGTTTGAAATAGTTAATACCAAAATTATTTTCAGATCAAGTGCACAACCCTGAGACATCTTTTCATGTGATAGTCCCTTGGTCTGTCTGGCACGTCCTGGCATTTTCCACTGATCCCGGGCTGTCTCTGCTAAGATACAGAGGACACTTTGCCATTCATCCACCTTTCTTATTTCTGCTGCTCATCTTCCCGAGTGTCTGATAAAATAAGGAGGCACTGAAACTGTAATAATGACACCAATGTAGCTTCCATTTTGAATTCCCACAATCTTAAGCACTTAACATAAGGCATTGCTCTTAATTTTCTTACAAACCCAATGCTTCAAGGATGAATAAATAATATATAATCACCCACAATGAGGATCTTGGTACTATTTACTTTACTCAACCTACTCCACAAGCACAGAGGAATCTTCTACCTTCACCCTAGATAGCATTTAGCAACATATTACCATTTGATTGACTTTCCAGTTCCCTGAAAAACTGAGATGGATAGCCATGGAGCTTCACTTGGCCAATCCAGTGAGATCTGCCAAGTTATTTTTCATAAATCACCCTCACTCCTATAAGGTATTCACAGGTTTTCCAGGAAATTCATCTAGAAAGCTCCTCCTTCAGCAATACCAGCCAGTTGGTAATGAGGTTAATGGTTCCTCCCCAGTGAACTTCTGTTAAGTTTGAGCAGGGCCACTTTAAGTGTTCATTCCAGGACTCTGCAACCTAGGTCTTCCCAGGAGGATGATCCTCAATCTTTTATTTATTTACTTACTCATTTATTCATTTGGTACAGGTTCTCGCTATGCAACTCAGACTCATAGTGATACTCTTGTCTCAGTATCTGCAGCACAGGAATTACAGGCATGGATCACCATGCCAGGTTTTGGTGGCCAGCATAGCACACCCCAGGTTTCAGCACTGGCATGACATGTAATATGTGGCTTGAATCCAGGTCCTTGTGCTTGCCAGGCAGGCCCTAATACCCCTGAGCTATCTTCCCAGTCCCCAATCCTCAATATTTTATCACCTGATTCTAAAATCATAAGATATTTACAAAGTAATTATTCTCACTGCCACCTTCTTCTCTATCTCCTTGTTTTTGAATACTTTTCTTACTCTGTCACAGTTAACACAAAAGAGTCACTCAACCTTTTCCTTTGAAATCATGATCTTAAACTGGAAATAATGCTAGGAAGTGAGACAGATTTGAAAATTAATCTTCTGATTTCCTAAAGGAAAAATTAATTCTTGTTAAGGCATTGTAATGTTCACATTCTAAGACCATGTACACTAATCCTCATTTTATTGGCTAAGAAACAAGTCTCAGACAATCTGGCTAATGAGTCGAAGGTCATGGAGTTAAGGAAATGTTGAGCTCCAAGTAAAACCAGAATGACACTTCTTCTGGCTATCTTCCTTTAAGCCCAAAGATGTAGGCAGCAGCATGCCCTAGGTACATTCCTAGGTTAATGAGCCCAGATAAAAGTTATAAATAAATTTTTAGAAGAAAAAGATAAACTAAAAGATTTTTCAGGTACTTTTTTCCATAAGTTGTTACTGTAATGAGCCAACAAAACACTTAGAAATCCATGTATATTTCTAAAAATGCGGTTTATAATAAATTTTGACAGTGAAATTTCTCTGAAATTCATAATTTATAGATATAAACTACAAGAAATTTATTTTGTCTAAGTTTACAAAAGAACTTTGGTATGCGCTCTATAATTTTTACTGATTAAAGTTTCACAACCAATGCATATTTATAGCTCATTCATTACTTTTTCAATATGTAGTGAGTTATGGTTGAATACCTCAGATAATTCTGGCACTATATAGTCCCTGTGGATATAGTCCTTTGCTATCCTACAAAATATGGAAACTGTTGCTTCAATGTAAATAGTTACTGGCATTTTACAATTCACATAAAATTTGTTGACGAATGAACTTTTTTCTAACCAGTTCTTCATAAATCCTCCCACTTCATTTCTTGTGTTAGGATCTATGAATCAAAGCAGTGTATGTTTTCATTAGCTCAGATTTTTAAGAGTAATAAAATCATTATAAAATATATGTAATACTACAGGATGATTTTTAAGGTAATTCACAGGGCCAGAGATGGGAGATCCCAGAATGGGTGTCTGTGCTGGAGAGCCAGAGGACCTAGTAGCTGCTCAGCTGAAGAGGATGAGAGGTACAGATCAAGAGATATTAGGGATGCAGCATTGGTCCAACATCAAATCCTTGAAGCTCCCTTGAGAGTTGCTAGTGCAAGTCTTTGATGGAATATTAAAGAAAATGGAGATCAATATCCAAAAGCAATGACAGCAAAGAATGCACCTGCTCAAGAATACGGGTGCTCTTCAAAAATGGGTGAGCATCCCTCTTTTTCCACTTTTTTTATTCTATCCAGGTGACAAGTTTATTGATTGGTTCCACTCACAACTAGGGTGTGTCTTACCCACATAGTTTGCTGGGATACCTGCCAGTCTTCTCCACATTCATACTTAGAAAGGTGTGCTAGGAAATCTCTTATGCATTTTAAAAATCAAATCAAGTTCACATAACATAATACATGATCACAGCATTTAACACCATAAAAGGATTGAGTATGTCCAAAATAGAGTTAGTTTTACAAGTTTAAGATTGCATGGTGAGAGCTTGTAAATCTCATCATAAAATAAGTCTTTGATTAGAAACTTCTGGCTATAGTAATTAAATATCATTTCTACAAGAAGTTAGACTTTCAAAAAACTCACTAGAAATAAGTTAGAGAAACCACACCTTTTGAAATAGCTTTCAAAAAAGAAATATTTATGAATCAATCTAAAAAAATAAAGTAAAAGATCTATACAGTGGAAATTACAGTACTTTTTTTGTTTTGTTTTTAAACTACCCTCTTGTTCTTTTTTTTTTAATTTTTTTTATTTTTCAACAAATAATACACTGCATATATTCTTCTTAGTGGTTAATTGCTGTATCTTTGGTGTATTTATGAACCATGATTAAAAAATGAAGCTGAGTGTTGCCAAGCGCCACACAGTGGAAAGGCAGGCTCCTAAAGGCCACCGCAGGGCGTCCTCGTCTGCTCCATGTACACATCTCCACTTGGACTATTGTCTGGAGCTGGGCCGTGCTGCCCGCCAGGAAGTGGCTGGAGAAGGAGGCCCTCAGGGAGGGGAGGCAGGGCCGTGGAAGCAAGGCCGGGGTGGGGCCCGGGGGCAGCCGGGCACTGGGCATCTTGGCGCTGGCAGCGGATGTGAAGGCCTGGCGTGCAGCGTGGGCGTGGTGAGGGCGTCAAGAGGGAAGCGTGGTCACTGCAGACGTTTGGGAGTGAGGAGTCCGGGCAGGTGGCTGGAGCGGCTGCCCCGTCCCGCGTGGTCTGGGGTGCCCCGCACGTGCAGTCTTGTCTCCATGCGCCGTGGCTGCAGCACCAGGCTTGGGGTGAACTGAGGAGAGATAAGGGACTAGGCCTGGCTCTCCTCCCCCTCCAGCAGCAGAGCGGCCACCTTGCCTCCAGGTCTCTGTGGGGCCAGTGTGGCTGGTGGTTCCTTCCCGGGGTGCACATGTGGGCACGCTAGCGGGGTCACAGAGGGGGGCCACCTAGCTCTGAGGTCACTGTTCCGGGCTTCCTTGCACTCAGCCAGGTGCAACACAGGTGGAGCTGGCCCCGCTCCTTGTTGCCCAAGTCCCAGGCGCTCCTGCCATGCGGCTGTGTGGCCTCTCACTTGCGGTTGGCTCTGTCCATGTGGCAGAGGGCAGAAACTGAGTACTTGAGACCCTTCCCATGGGCACCTGCAGCGCCGCCTGGCTCGGTGGCTGCTGGTGGCCCAGCTGTGCCCCTGTTGGTCGGGTGATTTGGCCTCCATCTGTGAGGTCCGCTCCATGACCAGGGTCTTCAGGGTACAGCCTGCAGCTCCGCAGTGGATGGGCCTTGCCTGGGCCTTGACTGGTAGCAGAGGCCACCCTCAACGTGGCACCTTTCTTGGGTCCTGGGTGTAGGCACCAGGATGTTGCGGGCCCCACTGCGGCCTCCGGGGCACAGGGAAGCCCTGCACACAGCACTCCCAAACCCACCTTATTTGCTGTTGCAGGCACGACTTCCAGCAGTGGGCGATCCACGAGCACTTCCTCCCTGCACCCTTGGCTTCAGGGGGCTGTGGCGGGGACCTGGAGGTGGCGAGCACGGTTCTCATCGACGTGCTCATGGACTTCTACCAAAGGTCAGCCTGCGGTGCCAGAGTGCTTTTCGCGACGGTTCTGAGAGCGTTGCAGCGCCCCGGCCCAGCGTCCTGGGCACAGCCGTGCCGTCGGCCTGTGGAGTGCTCGGGGCCAGCTCCCTGCCAGCGGGCTGGGGTGTCCACTGTGTCCGCACAGCGCTGCCTCGGTTTTGGCCTGGGGTTCGGGGTACAAAAATGGGGAGAACAGAAAACACAGCTGGGCAGCTGCTGCCGTGCGTGCCAGGACAAAGACGCGGGCGCAGAGTGGGCCTTGAAGCAGGGGGGGATGACGGGAAAGGCAGAGCAGTGGCTGGGGTGGCCCCTCCCTCCGGTGCCGCACTTGGGTCGCTGCTTGGTAGCACAGGCACTGAGGATGGGGCTAATGTGGCACGTCATATCGTAAAAGCCGAACCCTTTGGTTACATCCCCAGACCGCGATCAGATGGCGTACCGCATGCGCCTGTTTGTCCCGCTGCCCCTTAGCCCCCCGGGGGTCCATGGAGGAGTCATCCAGGGTGGAGCCTGTCTAGGGGCTGTGTGTCAGCGCCTCTCAGTTTTATTTCCGTACAGCCAATAGCGTTAGAAATTCTTCCTGCCAGTGTGCAGTAGCCGGAACCATGTGAGCCGGGCACAGTGGCCTTGGGCCCGCCATTCTCCCTTAATCTCCCAAGAGCCTCTCAGGAGGGACACCAGTGTGTACACACAGCGCCAGCCTCCAACCTCGCGTGTGCTTCCTGTCTGTGGCGTGGCCCGTGCTGGACCACCGAGCCATCTCCCCAGCCCTCTTGCTAACTTGTGACCTGATTCTGAAGCTTGTGGTCCTGCTTCAGCCGCGCGTGCTGGGATTACAGCACGCGCCACCACACATTCCCTGCACAGAAGAAGTTGAATTTTGATAGGTGTTTTGTGCAGCTTCTTGGCGGTTCCCATATGTAAGCTCCTGTCATCTGTGAGTCGGTGGTGTGACCCTTCCACCCCACCCTGAATGCCTGTTGTTTTCCCACTGAAGTCCCCTGTGGGGACTTGCGGGTGGTGCAGTGTTCAGAGGTGAGCAGGCTGTCTTGGCTTGTGCCTGTGGAGGAAAACGTCCCATCTTCGCCTGGGATAAGATGCTGGCTCTGGGTTCTCCTGAGCGCCCTGCATTCCTTCTTTATCGGGCGTTCATCACGACAGCGCGTGGATTTCCTGCTCGCACGTCCTGGCACTCATCCGTACCATCAGGTTGTTTCTGTGTCATAGAAGACGATCTGCAGAGGCTAGCCCCAAGAGCTCTGCCGGCTCCTGCCACCCTGCTGGCTGCCGCTGGGGCAGGTGGGCAGTGGGCCACCCCTCGCAGCCTCCTTCCTCTTTTCCTTGCAGCCCGAGGAGCTGCGACCACACAGAGAGCCCCACCTGGCCCCACGGCGGCCACAAAGGCAATGTGGACCTCTTCTGCAGGCTGCAGGTGAGTTGGAGAACGTCGGCCCTCAGGGCGTCCACGGCATCCCGCTGTCTGCCGCTGCAGTTCATGACACATTTTTCTGTCATGGTGCCAGCCCCCTGGGCAGCATGGAGACCCCCACCCCCACCTGAGGCTGCGGTCCTGAGCAGCAGTGAACCGCGGGGAACACCACCAGACCCAGGCACGAAATCCTGCGGCTCTGCGGGTGTCGTGACGGGATGTCAGCCATGTGGCAGAACTTCTGTGGGTCCCCAGTCACCTGCTTCTAACTCCCACGGCTATCTGGGACAAGAAGGGCCATCCGGGGCTTGGAGCACGCGGCTCCGCCCAGGCAGGGGCAGGGAGAAGGGCTCCCGTGGCCTACACCCCATGTGTGTGTCTTCGCTTCCCATATCTGAGGGCGTAGTGGGATCCTTGGGAGTAGGGCGCAGGGGATGCGGCCTCCTCCAGCCTCCGTGCCCCTTTGCACTGACTGTGATCTTCAGGCATGCGTGATTTTATTTCACATGATCCAGTTGTGGGCTCCACACTGCTGTTCTTCAGCATTCTCAAAAGGTGGGGAACAAAAGACAATTGTGGAGAGTGAGTCCTGGTACGTCTGCCCACAGGTGGAAACACGTTGCTTAGAGAGACGTCAGGCCCCCCGCTCCTCACACTGTTGTCCGTGGGGTGAAGGAAAGCGAGCTAGGGAGG